TCACTTCCGCGGCGATCTGGATGTAGCTATCTTTCCGAAGTGAAGCTGAGGGAAGATAGCGTATACATTCAGATCGCCAAGGAAGTGATAGTTTGCCATCGCCTGAAACCAAAAGGTGATTATTTGCTTTATATTCCACATCGGAAACATTTCACTTCTTCCGTTATTTTAGAGCAACAAGTCATCAGTTAACAGCTAGCATTAACGGTGTACGATACGTAGTGCATGCAGTATAGTGACTTGTGACCATAGTTCGCGCGTGACCAATGTTTGCGTACTAACACTAAAAGCGCTGAAAGAGGAGAGCAATACGCAGCGTATACAATTAAAGTACGTTGCACTGTGTAGATAGTACTACTATCTACCGAGTGCATCGCACTTTCACTGAAGATTCACTGTAGTAGTACTATCTACACAGTAGGCGGTATCACACAGAGGCCCAAAATCCGGATTTTAGTTATCCTCTTAATTGCTGTCTGTCATCAATTATCCCATTAAAAATCCTCTAACGAAGCAAGAAAATTCTCCCTTGAAAGGATTTTTCAGGGGATTTTTAAGGGATTTTTCTGTGTGACACCGTCTAGTGTAACGAACTTTTCTTATCCTATCAATGATAAGGGCGAACTATCTTTCATCACGTGATTTACTTTTGGTCAATCGTAGAGCAAGATTCTTAGTATATGGAATATAATAATAAATGTAAGTTAAGAAGGGATTGAAAGTACAGAAACCATTGAGAGCACAGAGAATACGTTTTCTGTTCATGTAATCACACAGTCAGATGTTCTGAAAGAAATCTATCGATTAAAGATAAGAAATCATTGGGGTTGTTGGAATAGATTATTACATGCTAAAAAGCCAGTGCACTGGAAATTGTGAAACCCCTCATATTTTTTTATTAATAGATCATTGTCTGAAGGTACAGTCCCCTACAGCTGGAAGGTGACTAAGGTCTTAATACCTCTGCATAAAAATGGTGATAAAGCTTTAGCTTATATTTACAAACCAATATCATTATTAACGTGTTTGTCAACAATATTAGGAAAGATTGTATACTGTACAACAACACTTAATTCGACATTTGCAAAAAACAACATTTTAACCAAAGATCAATCGGGACCGAAACATTCTACCTGTACATCTCTTACAAAGGTTACAGATGAATGACTTCAATCAGTTGGTAAGGGTTTATATACAGGAACACTTTTTGTCGATCTGCGAAAAGCCTTTGATTTGGTCCATCACAGAATTCTCTTGAGAAAATTGCCTAATGTTGGTATTAATGCTAAAATGCATACGTTTTATATGAATATCTGGTTATTATAACCGTAAAATGTTTACTTCGATAAATAATGTTTCCTCCAATGAATTGATATTAACGTATTCTTTTAGTGTAAAATTACCATTTTTGGCTTACTTTATTTCCTCATAATAATATATACATCTTTACATTTTCAGCATATGCCTCGAATTTGGAAGGAGGGATATATATGGTTTCCTACATGAGATATTTTCTTTTATATTCCACATACTAAGAATCTTAGGACCCTTTTTTGTTTTTGTCTTGAAATTTGAAAATTTGACATTTTGCTCCGTAGGGGGGGGGGGGGGGTAAGGTCACTTTTATTAGGTCAGCCATTGGCATAATCTTCTTCTTTTTTCTTTTCTTTTTTTTATAATAAAAAAAAAAAAAAAAAAGGGGGGGGGGTTAACCCCCTGCGTACGGGCCTGGAAGTGCCCATACGTATAGTGATTACAACTTTCACAAATTCATAACTTTCTTCTATTTAGTCGGATTTAAATGAAAATGTCATCAATTTGCTTCTTCGATTTTTCTACTATCTTTTAGGTCAAATTAAAAAAAAAACATGTTTAGCGTCCGGTTTTTTGAAAAAATAGGAAGGAGGAGGCCCTTTTTTCTTTCTTTTTTCTTGCAAAATGGCCGCTCATGATGGCCGCTCGGTACATTTTACCTGACAGGCTATTTATCAAGATGGCCGCCGACAAGTTTTTTATGTTTTTTAAAAATCAGAAATAGATCCATTTTAGCAGTGTTTTCATGTTGTTTTTTTTCTTTTAAAAAAAAATTTCAAAAAAATTTCAAAAAATTTCAAAAAAATAAATAGGAGGCGGCCCCCAAAAAGGAAGCGGGTGGGGACGCTAAACATGTATATTTGTTTAATGACCTTAGAGTGGTTGTCTATTTGGGTTAGATTTCCTTTTAATGATGGCAGTGCTTTTCTTGAGCTACATGCATGTTTCTAGGGAAACAAGAATAATCGTATACGCCACATTTGCTCACATACATGTTATATTATTATGGGCAAAAACTATCGTGTCTGAGCAAGTCCGAGCTACTTTGTCCCATACGTTACCGACCGCATTAGTAATTTAAGCATACTTTTTTTTTATTATTTTAACTTTATGGCCCTAATAGGCAATTTTCTTAATGTAATAAAGTTTAAAGCACACATCTTTATTAAATGCCTCGTTACAAAGTATTTTTTCAGTCGTTACGAATGATTGTATTTCATTATTCAGAATGCAAAATGCATGCAGCAGGGGCTTAGTCGGCCGGCCGGCTGAGTCGCCGCTAAATATTTTCTCACGAGTTGGGCCCTCCCCCCCCCCCCTTGGGAACCTTTCCTCGTCGCCTGCTGGATCCGCCCCTGGTATGCAGTCAGTGCTGTTAGATAGGACAACTTGAGCCATAATGTATATCCTACCAAGCAACAATTAATGTACATGTTGTATGCAGATCGCATTCTGACTATTGAAATACAATTGTTCGTAGGCAATTAACAAAGATTGGTGCATTACATTTGATTACACTTAGAAAATGATATGGAGTGAAATGATGCATTCAATGTCAATTCATGTTCACTACATGATAACATGAGGGACAACAGATGATAAATAAATCGAACACACCCATTAGGAAACGTCGTTTCATTAAAAAGAGTGCAATCCACTCCTTGTAACAATTTCATTTGTTGGAAAGCGGAAAAATAAGAGAAATGGAATGACGAAAGTTTGAAGTAGATCCAACAAATATTAAAAAAGTTATGACTAATTGAAATTTTAGATGTCACTGATCTATGCGAATCGCAAACTGGCAATTTGGTCACTGAATTGTGAAGTATTCAAACAATGAATATTTGTGGGAAAGAAAGTCAAATCTGACTGGTTGCCAAACAAAAATAAATAAGAACATTAACGCAATGCCTGTTTGTCCAGCAGTATGCCTAACCCTCGAATCCACGAACCAAGATTCAGCGTTTCCTGACCATCCGTCTAATGAGGCCAACTTTGATATATATTTTAATAAGAATTAAAAAAGATGCAGATGAAATGAGGGAATAAAATAAGAGAAAAAAGATTACCCTCCGTCGAGTTTTTACAGATGCAGGAAAGATATCGAATGAGAAAACAGAATAAGGAAAAAGACAATTTCCGTCGAATGTAAGCCTCACAGCACTGAAGAAGTACCAAAGAATTTTAAATATAATTATTTTAAAAAAAATAAAAAAAATCATGAGAGAACCGGTTGTGAATTGAAAGAGACAATTACCTCTAACAATTCCTTAGCCCAATATAGACATATTTACCGCCTGATTTCTACCTTTGTATTTATTAAATCTCCCATAAGAGGGTATGATACTTTGATATTAACATTCTATGATACATTTAAAAAAAACGACCTTCAGATAAAGGATGGTACCGTATTGATTTTTTATTAACGAACGACGAGGTAAACTCAAAGAATTACTCCTTACGTGAAATTCAATCAATAAAAAAGATCTTTACCTTCAAAGGTCTCTGTTGAAATTGAGATCCGTTTTTCTTCTCTTCAATACAGGCCTCCCCCCTCCTCTCTCTCTCTCTTTCTCTCTCTCTCTTTCTCTATCAATCTCTCTACCCTTCTCTCTATCTATTCTATCTTTTCATTTCTTCTTTGAGCTGTAACCTACCCTCTCATCATCTAGAAAATTCTAGATGTTTAATTCCTCTATCATGTCTAATGATATCGATATGAAAATTAGTTTTGCAATTTTGAGATTTGTCTTTGAAATATATTTATAGGTTTCTTGATTAAATCGCGACAGGAAGTGAAATAATTATTTCAATATTTAATCTTAGTTCTATTATCAGACGTCTATATAAGACTTCTTTCCCTGACAGAAAACAAGTCTCCTGAAAATTCGTGGTGAAGAAGGTCACATAGGGCACATCGTAGTTGCCAACATCCTTATGGCACTCATGCTAGGAAACTACTCAGAACCTTCAACAACTGCTTCGTCATTAATCTCGGCACACTTCTTGATCTCCTAGTCGTGATTTGCCTTAGCACTTCTGTAATGATCGACATCAAGCGGTCTATGATCCCCTCAACCATTATATCAACGAGCAAGGCTATCATCATCAACTCTCTGCCATTGTGTGATAGGACTATTTGGAAATTCGTCATCAGTTTCGAGGACTGCGAACATTCGCATCTATAGAATCTAAAGCCACCTGTTGATTATTGGATATTCGAGAAAGGAATCACATAATGACAATTCGCTTTCTCCATTTCCCACTTTCTTTGTTTTTATTTTAACTATCGACGTAATAACCTCGGTAGATAGCTATATATCTACGGTATAAAGAATATTACGAGTGACAAGGCTCAAGGCTCTCCTGTCTATTTGGGTAAAGAAGAAAGAAAAAATAATGCGCTTCAAAGAAGATTCGACACGAGTTTATTATTCGACTTTGATCTCTCTGTCTTGAGAATGACAAAATGAGACAGGTATATTACAATTAACTTTGCTTGCTCTCACGTCTTTGTCAGGAACAGTCTTCTTGAGATAATTGCCTTTTACTTGTGCCATTTGACCATATAAAAGATCGAATCATACTTCTTCGTCCAGATGAGCTTTATTCTTGTTGAAGTGAAGAGTGGTGACTGAATTTCATATCTTGCAAAGGCTAGTTACATGAGACTCATGGATGCAAATATGACGAATGTGTCTGACGGTACGCAACCCTACACAACAAACATGTGGACTGATTTTCAATATTCAAGCGAATTTGTAACAGAGGCTAATTCCTTAGACAGTGTAAAATCAGTTTCGTTTGAACAGATTTTCACTGCAATCTTTGTTGGGTTAATCATACTTTCGAACACCATCAGTCTGGTTGCATTCTTGCTAGAAAAACGTCTCCGTTCCTACAATAATTACTTCATTATAAACCTTACCATACTTGATCTGTTAGTAGGGATTGGACTTTGTCCCTACGTACAGCACATTTACGGCGGTCGGTACCCCTTCTCTCAAAATGCATGTAAGATTCTTTCAGGACTTTTCTACGGAATCGTCAATGCTTCAAACATCAACATCGTCGTCATCTGTGCCGATCGACATCAAGCGGTCTATGATCCCATCAACCATTTTATTTCTCGATCAACGCGTAAGGCCGTCATCATCAACTCTCTGCCGTGGGTGATTGGACTCTCGTTCTGGATTGGGTACGTCACAGTGTGGGAGTTCGCCATCAGTTTCGACAACGGGGATCACTGCCTTCATCGAATTTCTTTCAGTCCCGTGGCTGCTGTGTTTCAGGGGGTATTCGTGTTCTATCTACCAATCCTTATTATTTCCATCCTCTATATTAGAATCCTCATTAAGATCCGGAAGTCGGCTGGAGGACGGAATGTCAGCAAGAACTTTGCTTCAACAGATACCCACCTTTCCAGCTCCACGGACACCGAGATGACTTCTGGAAGCATCCCGTCTATTCCGCATTCATGTTTGGACGTTATTGATGCGAGAAGCGACAACGCAATAGCATCATCATCATCATCACCTAATGTAACGAAAATTGGAACCAGAGGCCAGGAATTATCGGTAAGTGAATTCACACCTGTCTCTGAAAGGTCTTTTATGCCAACACGTACTTTCTTCCTTCCTTTATTCTTCTTTCTTTTCTCCTCCCCCTGTATTTTATAAGGATTTAACACCATATTTGTTGAAAGACTATGTAATTATCCTTGTCATCGAAATATTATGAATAATTCACCTATTGTAAAAGTATGTTTATGAGATGCAAATTGCTCGGCTTCACGAAAGACTTTGCGTACTCCTTCATTGTTTTCCATTTTTATCTCCCCCTCTCTATTGCTCTTTCTCTACTTTTCTCTCGCCACACCTTCTTCTCATTAACTATATCTCTTTCTTTCTCACCCTTCTCTCTCTCTCTCTCTCTCACTCACTTTTTTTCTCTTTCTCCCAGACAAATGTGTCTGATCGGGTGGAATCGACTGCAGAAGCGCGCAAAGCAACTCGTACACTTCTTTTCATTGTCATCGCTTTCTTCACGACGTCGATTCCAGGAAGTTTGATAAGCTTGATTTACAGCATCTCTCCTGCTCTCATCCAACCTGGTCTATCACGAAAAGCTTTCCTCTTTTTCAGTTATCTGCAGTATGGCAACAGTGTTTTAAACCCCATCTCATACGCCCTTTCTCAGCCTTTGTTTCGGGCCACCGTTACCAAAATCTTCACCTATAAACTATAGTTTTGCATTCTCTGCACAGCATAGGATCTCCTTTTTACTAAAGCCGACTGGTATTTGGAAAATTTGTCTTAAGCCACCCTGACACTGGCACAAAATCTGTACCGCAATGTCACGCAATGCGTCGTGGCAAGGCGTATCATTTCGGTGTACGCGGCGTGAGGACGTGCTTGAGGCCTGTTCACGCACTGTACACGAATAAGTTACGCACTGTTTACGCCATGCGCCGCCAAAAATGGGCCCCATAGGCACACAATAACACGCAATGGCACAACTTGTTTACGCATAGGTTAAGTATTGTTCGAGCATTGTAGTGTAGTGGATTCCCATGTCACGCATTGAAACGCAGTGACAAGCATCGTCGGCAGTGTTCGCGCCGAGCTCGCGCAGTGTTCACGCATGGTTCATGCGAGTGACACCACATGATATGAAAATTGATGCGTGCCAAACATATAGCTCCGTTTAGGCAACGCCCCCCATCGTCAGAGTCAGCAGCCTAACATGTTATGCTATGGTCACATTACCCAAAAGTAGCCTGCTCGGCGGCCAAGCGGCGAGTTTTTAAGGCATCGCTCGGTCGCTGCTGAAGTTTTATGGAGCTCTCACACTCTGCCGTGTAGGCCTACCGTGTGCCACCGTGCGGTGGAGAACGGCGAGGGCACACGGTGGTTCGTTATCAAAGCGGGCAACACGTTAATAGGGCGTTGGCGCTTATTTACACCCGGTGGGACCCGGCGAAAGTTTTGGGCATGTTCAAAACTTTGGCCGGCTGGCACCGGCCGCAAGTAAGCGGCAAGAGGACGGTGTTGAACGGTATGAGGACGGTATGAATACGTTATGAAAACGGTCACACTGTATGAACACGTTCACAACACGCTCATAACCCGTTACAGAACGGTGATGAAAAATGGAGAGCGGACTGGCCGTTGCCGTTCAAATCGGGGTATTTATGGCAGTCGTGTCATGACGTCAGCAGTCCGGGGACTCGCTCACAGGACGCTCCGAGCGGTGAGGGGACGCTAAGTGACTGGTAGGTGGCTGCTACAAACCCGGTGCACACGTTCGAGACCCGGTATGGGCCCGGTATGGAAACGGCCAAAATGTTCAACAAAAGTCAATCTGGGCGGTGAAGACGGTAGAAGTACGTTCAACACCCGGTATGCGCCCGCTAAGAACGGTCAGAAGATGGCAACGAAACGGTGAAAAGATTAATTTTATGAATTTTTTTGTTGCGGCCGGGGACAAGTTCGCTCACAACCCAACGTTCTGGACTCTGTTGTTTTTTTAATAGCCCGGCAGGTGGACGGTAGGCCTATACGGCAGAGTGTGAGAGCTCCATTAGCGCGGAGTTAAAATTCGGGCGGCGCCTGCTCACTTTCACTCGCCACCCAGACTACGCTCAGTGACCGGGCGGTCGCAGCCAGGGCGCCGTCCGGGCGCCGACCTAATTGAGCGTTCTTCGTCGAGCGATTTAGGTCAAAAATCGAAGCCGCTAGGTCAAAGACTGTCGAGCAGTCGCCGCCCGGTCGCCGCTCGGTCGCCGCTGGGAGATCAGTCGGTCACTGGGCGGCGAGTCCAAAATCGGTCGCGGGCCTTTGACCTAGCGGCTTAGATTTTTGACCTAAATCGCTCGGCGGCGAACGCTCGATTAGTTCGGTTCCCGGGCGGCGAACGGCCGGGCACCGAGAGTATTTTGGAGCCCCGTCGATCACTGGCCGGCCGCCGTGCAATATCTTTGAAATCAGCCGGCGGCCGGTGGGAGACTGCTCGGGAATCGGTGGGTCACCGGTCGGTCACTGCCAGGACACCGCGCGGAAAAGCTCAGCGATTTTGCCCAGTTTTGACCTAAATCGACCAGCGACCGACGGGAAATCGACAGGGCACCGCCCGGGTATCGCTGTCCACTTCAGCCAACCCCCCACCGTATGGGCAAACATTTTGCCGAGGTAAGAAAAAACATGAATATTCATGACACACCATGGACTAACAGAGGGGTGCAATTGTGCAGCACATCAAACTCCCCTACTTTCAGTCAAGTATTTCATTGTATTATGTAGTTTGGTTTAAAGATATGGAAAAGGTTCTTGTATTTTTTAGCTAAGCAATCTCACATACAAATTCACAACCAAGTGTCGTCTAATCCGCCGATTGCCGTCTGCTATATACGTCCAGCAAGCAAAAATGAGACAACCGGAGCAATATGTTTTTGAGAATTTCAAAATTCTCTCTACGACATTGCATGCACCCCCGCACCCTTCACACACTCCTCACGCTCGTTAACGAAGACTTTAGTCATTGGCACGACGCATTGCATGGCATTGCGGGGTCAACATTCGTGCCAGTGTCAGGGTGGCATTACAAAACGATATGGAGAAAGATATTCTGTATTATCCATTGAAATATATAAGTTATATTTTAGAAAGTTTATTTATGACATTTTTCAAGAGACCCTGAGTACACATATAGATGGTTGTCTTTTTTAGGCACAAAAATTCCGCTATATTACAATTTAGGGATGTATTGGAATAATGGAGTTCCAGGTGTACTATAACTTATTGTTGCAGCGATTCTTTATTTGTGTGTTTGAGACCGCCTTGAGAATACTTAAAAATTGGTTCGGTCCCGCCTCCTTGAAACACCAATGTGAGAGTTCCTTGATAATGATTCTCCTTGAAGAAGTGTTTAAATCTTTACTCGCTATGAAGTGAAACACGGACTGCCACATTGTTTGGCAGGAAATGATGTCTTTGTTCCAAAAGTCGACTTTACCAGTCCATGTCTGCGCAATAAATCGACCAAAGCCTATAAAGTGTTTACGACGAACATTTTCCTTGCTTTGCATAAAAGTTGAAGTTAATGTTGTGGACGAATCATCTCGTTTTCTGCATAATCGCGGCATAGTTTTCGAAATCTTGAACCAGGCATGTTTAACATCTGCTTTCTCTATAAAGCAAACACCGGGCAGTCACAGTTAATATCTATAATTATCACGATAATCACAAATACAAGTTGATTAAAGTGTCTGTTCAGTACAAGAGAAATATATAAAAATGTGGTATAATTGTGGTTTTCCCGAGGGATCGTTCTCAAAAAAATATACATGTAAGAACTGGAAGGAACGTTGAGCTACCTCCTAAATGAGAAAGTTCAGGTGCATTTGTTTTCCTCAAAGGAACCCTTTAACGATATCCTTTTTTTTCTTCTTTCTTTCTTTCCAGTTCTCAATGTGTATAGTTTAGCAAATACAATGAGCTAGGACCGTATTATAAGGGAGGGTTAAAGCGTCCATCCATTTTGATATTATAATACTTTTAATAATACTTTTTCCCAACGGATGGGGGATCAGTCTTGTAAGTCTCGCCAAGGCGCATCCTGGAGATCAAATAACCTTCGCATACGATGCGTCCTTTTCTAAGAGGCTGCTTGTGCTTTTAGTTGTCGGTACTATCTAAGATATCTATAGTTCTCTGATAAAAAGCGTAACAATGAGACTTGGTACTTTTTATGTTAATACACAGTCAGCATGTTTAACGGAGAGAAATTGTAATAATCAGCCACCAAGTGAAATGGAAATGTAAGAATGCACAAAAAAACTAAATGAAAAGTGAATCCTTCGACTAAAGTAAATTTACGCAATCTTAGCCCCACGAGAAAATTAGTAATAACTAGGGTAAAATTAAGCAATATAGTTCTTAACCTTGGCAAAACATCAATCATCATTATTGCTTGTAATGAGCTTATTACCAAAGTCTCACTATTGTTATACCACTTCTTGCAGTATATGCGGAAAGAAGAATCATATTTCATAAAGTCACAAAGGCATTGCTGTGAAAAGGATGTTATACCGGTTTATTGCAAAATTGGTCCAATCCTATTTGTTGTAATCCTCTTAAAAAGTCTAACACCATCTTATCAGTATGTCCACGAAGCAAATTGTCTTACCATTACATCTTCGTTCATTTAGTATGATAACCACTGGTGTCAATAGACCTTTCATCTAAAACCATTTGGTCTAAAAGCTACTTCATCTTACCAATACTTGTATGTTTTAGTCCATTAACGATTGAGTACATGAACGGCTACTTTAATAAATTCCAATTTTGTCTATCGTTACTGCATCTTGTAGTCCAAAACAAACGTAGAATTTCAGTTGGTTATTTTCATTTTGTCTATACCCATTTCGTTTTATAAGCTAACACGATCAAGTCATGATTTGTTCTAATAACCATTTGGTCTAATAATTACCATTTAGGCCAGATAACCAGGGTACCCAAGACATACAACCAGAGGATGTCCACACCTTATGAAAGAGGGGAAAAGCTATGGTGTAAGCTACGAAGTAGGGTTTGAACTGAACACTCAAAGTTGTACGAAACAAGCTTCTGTGACTATAATTACCCCGCGTCAATTTCCTACGTCGAATTAGTAACTTCAACCCTGGACCCAGCACTATACCTAACCCTAACCCTAACCATGCTAACTGTAATCTTAAACCTAACTTAAAACCCATTTGCAACCCTCACCCTAAGCCTGTACATTTGACGAAATTAATAATGCTAGAGCAATTGTCATGGGAGCAAATATCGGGTTACCATCAGAGATGCTAAGTATTTATTAAAAAAGACTTCTCAAAGTACACATTATCCTGATTGACAACTCCCTGAGGTATTCAGATCAAAAGCCATTAAGGTTGTACCTCTATTATTTGTTTTCTTCAATATATTTTCTTGAATGATGATGATTTTGTAGAGGGAACGAAATTTCAAAAAGATGAGAAAACGGTATTGTCACCTCTCAAAGAACATTGAATCGGTAATCAAAACAAAACTCTTCCATGCCAAATAATACAATTTCATATGAACATGTAAATATGTTTCAAGGACTGAAACGTATGTTGGTTGAGTTCGTTTAATATGTCGTGGTAGATAACATCTATTTTGTGACATGACAAGGACTATATTATGTTTATTAAAAAGTTATTCTCTGTTGTAGTTGACACGCTTGAAACTTAATAGGATGACAATTTAATTCTACATCTCGCTTCTGATTCGTTGAGGATAAAGCATCTAAATCTGACTGTATATAACCATCTGCTTTTCGTTAAGAGAAGTATTCACAGACAAATCTGTGTGAGATGCAACATTGATCATGGCCGATATTTCTAATAGCACGCAGACCTACTCAACGGACATGTTTTGGACTGACATCCAGAATGCAAGTGAACACATGAATGTCACTACTAACTCTTTGGATCCCTTTGGAACAACTGCACCTAGCCTGAGGAGTCTCATCTTCCCTGCTGTGTTTTTCGTGCTCATGCATTGTACTTGCCAACATCATCAGTCTTGGCGCATTCTTAGTAGAAAAACGTCTCCGTACCTACAATAATTACTTCATCATAAACCTGACCATACTGGATCTGCTGGTTGGAATCGGACTGGGATCTGTCGTAGAGTACTCGTACATTAAACGGTACCCGTTTTCTCAAAATGCCTGTAAGGTCATAACTGGGATCTTCCAAGGAATCGTCAATGCTTCTAACATCAACGTGGTTGTGATATGTGCCGATCGACATCAAGCGGTCTATGATCCCATCAACCATTTCATTTCTCGATCAACGCGTAAGGCCGTCATCATCAACTCCCTGTCATGGGTGATTGGAATCTCGTTCTGGATTGGGTACGTCACCGTGTGGGAGTTCGTCATCGATCACGACAATGGACTCCACTGTACTCAGCGGTTCCTTCTCAGTCCGTTGACGAATATGATCCAAAGTGCGGCCACGTTCTTCTTGCCTTTGGCCATTATTGCTGTTCTCTATGTCAGAATATTCATCAAGATTCGGAAGACGGTTGGAAGACGGAACAACAAGAAGTCGACTGATTTAACGAACCTCTACCTTTCCACCGCCAAGGATACTGAGATGACGAGCATAAGCGTTTCATCGACATCGCAGACAGGTTTATTTAGTGACATTACAGAAACAGTGAGCAAAGATGATACTTTGGTATCATCATCTTCATCACATAACGAGACCAAGATAGGACATATTGGCCAAGGAATATCGGTACGTAATCTACAGAATTTTCCTCTAATAAGACGTTAGCAAAGACTTCAGTAACCTTGTCCGTCATCTATTCCAAAATGAGAATATGACAAAAACTGTTTATGTACAAATCTGAACATGCTTTCTGTATATTAGGGCATTCAAATATTTCTTAAGTTGTCTTTGCGATCATGATTTCTTTTGAAACAAATACATAAAAAGGTTAGCAGCCCTCCAGATTAGACCGAACAATATAGGCTCTTTGTTGACAGAATTTTCTCACAAAATCTCTAAATGTCAGCCATTGAGGGGCAATTTCCCTCGCTCTCCCATGTCACTACAAAACTAATATGCAATTGGCGCTAAAAGAAAAATCAAAGCTTATTAGTTGTTTGTGTTTGTCTTTTTAAAGTTTGAATAGATTCCATTGGAAGATGGCACGTCACTTTAAATGCATGAATTGGATTTATACCATGTATATTTTGCGCAATATATATTCCTGTCAAAATCTCATGATTTTCTCTCTTTCTCTTTTCTGGTCTGTTTCTCCTAACAACTCAGACATCAACGTCACATCGCGTGGAATCGACGGCTGAAATGACGAAGGCGACTCGTACTCTTCTCCTCATCGTCATCGCTTTCGTACTGACATGGGTTCCGATTAGCGTTATCTATTTAATCTACAGTATCGAACCTCGACTCATCGTACCTGGTCTGTCAAATAAAGCTTTCACTGTCTTCAGCAATCTGCAGTACGGGAATAGCCTCCTGAACCCTATATCCTACGCCATGTCGCAGCCTCTGTTCCGTACCACAGTCATCAGAATGTTCTCCTGTAAACTACCGTCGCGGGCCAACTAGCCTCGATAATTCACCTATTTTGTATATTTCAACATTCTCATAGTATGTAGTGCAATATTTAGCGTATCCTACATAGAGTGATCCCTTCATAACCACTCCCCGTTTGATGGTCCAGTTTATCAATGAAACGCTTCTCTGAATCTTAAATGTTCATATTGCTCCGGTCGGCTCATTTTCGCCAGCACAAACGTAGCTTGTTCACCGTCTATAGAACGTATACATCAGACGGCAATCGGCGGATCAGACGACACTTGATAGTGATTTTGTATGTGAGATTGCTTTGCTAAATATAAAATACAAGAACCTTTTCAATATCTTTAAGCTATCATTGATATCTGATAATTAAACAGTAAGTAAAATAAACCTACCAAACTACATAATACAATGAAATACTTGATTGAAAGTAGGGGAGTTTGATGTGATGCACAATTGCACTCCTCTGTTAATAATCGAATAGTCCATGGTGTGTCATGAATATTCATGGTTTTGCTTACCTCGGCAAAATGTTTGCCTCTATTAAATGGAAAAATTACGGTGGGGGTTGGCTGAAGTGGACATAATGAACCAAGCAAAACTGATCTATGATAATTCATGCTATTTATCCTTCGTGTGCTTGACCTATAATATTACAATCGCGTGGTGAATTGCGTCCAAAGTTCGACTTGTTGCACATGTGTTATATAGGCAATGGCGAGCTTGCGACCTATTTTGATCAAATTACGGTGGTGAACTTTTAAAAGTCAATGGGACATGAGGGTTCCAAATTCCAATGAAAGAGCTAGTGCCAACGTACGTCGGGGTGAATGTGCTTTTCGTTTAAACAAAAAATGAATTTTTAACGATTTTGGGGGGGGGGGGGTAAAAGTCCATAGGCTAACATGTTTATAGGCTTCTGGACTCTGACGATATGGGGCGTTTTCAAATGAGACTAAACAGAGCTATATGGGCCTGTGAATATAGGCACCCTAGTTCTCACACCTGTTCCCTGTGGGTAGAACTTTACGTAATGAATATATTAACATGTACACATCACTGTCATGCCAGTGTCGCGATGTACTTTTTGGTAATTTTTTTTTTCTATTTATCCTCTTTCGAGGGACTTTATTTGTTCATATCATAAAATAACAGCTATTTACAACAGTGTTTAAATACAAAATTCATGCAATTGTAACATATCATACATAGTACAGAACATGAAACTAATGTGACATAATCACTAACTAAAATAATGAAAACATTTTTGTAACTTTTGTAACTTCGTTTGTATCGAATTTCTTTTGATTACATTTCATATTGAGATAGGTGCGAATTTCCACCTTTAATTCTTTTATCAAATATACAGCATGTTTCCTGTGCTTTTCACTTCCAAAACATTCTCTAATATAGTTCCTATAGATAATAAACTGAGCGAAGTTTAAAATACTTTTTGGTAATGATATGAACGAGTTTTTTTTTGTTGTAAATTTTAATTTGTGAAACGTAACGTAAAGAGCAAAATTTTTTGAAATGCACATATTCATATTTATCTTAATGATGTAAAAAATATATTTATTTTTGTCTACGATTAAGATTAGATCGCTTGTTCGCCTTGTGGTAGTTATTGTAGAAAAGTGCTACTACAATTTGTGAACTGGTCAAGATGTAAATTGGATATTTGATTCGTTTGTGACACATGCTAACTTAAGATTTAGTGTATAGAAAATGCAGATGTACATGTATTAAATGTTGTGGCACCACTAACAGCTTTGATTGAGCCTATTATTATTATATAAACTTTGCTTGTCTTTATGTTTAATGCTATAACAACGTGCCCTATTATAGATATTTCATTGCGTATGATACAAATTGTTGGTCTGTACTTTTTATTGGAATGAGAAATTTCTGTTGTTAGCCAAATTAATGTTGGTCAGAATTGTAATGATTAATAGAGATGCAGTTAAAGGTGATGATGATGATGGTGATGATAATGATGTTGATTACGACTATGATGTTGAGTAGAAATGTGACATTGACTGTTCCTAAGACAAGTTTACAGTGATGCTTATGAAAGAGAAATGACGTCAATAATTTTGAAAAAGACTTTCGTGACGATTTTGTTGATGACAATGAAAAGGAGGATGAATTTTTATATGATCAGAGATAAGAGCGACAATGGTGTAAAAGATGATAATACTGATGATTGTAACGGAACAAGTCTAACGACTGTGTATTATGGTTACAAAATATAATGGGTAATAATAGAGGGTCGCACTCAGAGCGACAATTTTCGCGTAGCGTCCAAACCTACGACGGTATTCAGCCGTCTTAACGTCGGGCGTCGAGCTAGTACGGGGTGCAGGGGCGTCGCCAAAGGGGGGGGGGTGTGGGGGCGCGACACCCCTCCACCTGTCAGGATGTTGTCGTAAAAATTGCGCTGCCGTCGGGAAAAAAGAGAAAAGGGGGAGGGGAAAAAGAGAGGGAAAGGGAAAGAAAAGAAAAAAAGAAAAGGAAAGAAAAGAAAGAGAGGAAAAGAAAGGAAAGAAAGAAAAGAAACGAAAGAAAAGAAAAGGAAGAAAGAAAAAAGGTGAGGGAGGAGAGGAAAAGAAAGAAAAGAAAGAAAAGAAGAAAACAGAGTAAAAGGGAGCAAAAAGAAACGGGGGATGAACGAGAGGAGAGGGGAGGTAAGAGCCTGAGAGTGGAGGAGTGGGAGTAAAAGAGAGAGGGAGGTTGTTGGATGGAGTCGTCTCGTCGAGGGAGAAAGAAAGACATGGGTAAATATGTTGCTGCGTCGGGTCAGCTGCGTCGGTTTTCTTGCTCGAACCTAGTGTACTATATCAATGCAGAAGTATGAAGTCGGTGAGATGTATATTGTCGGTCGGCCGACAAGTTTTTTTCCTTACGAACTGTGACTTTTTATCCGCTGTGACGACTTTGCGAGTGACTTCAACTACAATACTTGTATTTTCTCGAAGTTTCACGTTCCTATAAAATTTTCGGGGAAACTAAATTGAAACAAAGTTTGAGAGTCAACAACGGTACGACAAATCGTCTTCCTTTCTTTACATTGTGATGAAACGCCAAAATTTCGGAAGGGGAAAACTTCATTTAGATGAGTCGAGAACGGTACAACAAATCGTCTTCTTTCTCTAATAATTTAAGGAAACGTCTATTAAGCTTTCGCGCGAGAGGGGGAAACTGAATTCAGACAAATTAGGGTTAAGAGTCGAAAACGGTGCAACGAAACGTCGAAGCTTCTGCGCTTCGTGCGGAAGGTGGGGAAACTGAATTCAGACAAATTAGGGTTAAGAGCCGCGAACGGTACAACGAATCGTCTGCTTTCTCTAATAATTTAAGGAAACGTCAAAGCTTCCGCGCTTCGCACGAGAGGGGGAAACTGAATTCAGACAAATTGGGCTTATTAAAAGTCGACAACGGTACAACGAATCGTTTTCTTTCTCTAATAATTTAAGGAAACGTCAAAACATCTGCACTTTGCGCGGGAGGGGGAAAGTTCATTCAGACAAGGATTAAGAGTCGAGCACGGGTCGACGAATCGTTTACTTTATCTAATAGTTTAATGAAACGTCAAAACTTCAGCGCTTTGCGCGGGAGGTGGAGAACTGAATTCAGATAAGGATTAAGAGTCGAGAACAGTACACCGAATCGTCTGCTTTTTCTCAAAATTTAATGAAACGTCAAAGCTTCCGCGCTTCGCGCGGGAGGGGGAGAACTGAATTCAGACAAGGATTAAGAGTCGAGCACGGTTCAACGAATTGTCTACTTGTTCTAATACTTTAATGAAACGCTAAAACTTCCGCGCTTCGCGCGAGGGGGAGAACTGAATTCAGATCAGAATTATGAGTCGGGAACAGTACACCGAATCATCTGCTTTTTCTCATAAATTAATGAAATGTCAAATCATTCGCGCTTCGCGCAGGTTGGGGGGGGGGGGAGGGTAGAGGGGGAGAAACTGAATTCAGACAAGGATTAACAGTCGAGAACGGTACAATAAATCGTCTTTTTTTTTCATAATAATTTATGGAAACGTCTAAGCTTCCTATCACCCGCACCCCCTAAGTGATTCGCTTGCTCACTACCGGTGGCTAGTTTTGTCGGTAATCGTTGGCCTCTACACCCCCCCCCCCCCCCCCCCCCCCCCACTGAAAAAGGTCTAGCGACGCCCCTGACGGGGTGACGACCTTATTTAAATACCCCGTAGTCAGCACTAGCGTCGCCGTGCGAAAACTCGCTAATGAAGACGGCAACAGATGCAGCTTTTCTTATATCTAGTGGTGGGTTATTCCAAAGCTTTGGAGCGGCACCACTGTAAGCGCAATCTTCAAGAGTTACTTTTGTTTTTGTGCGAGGTAGTTTCAAAATCGACCTGTCCTGTGTACTTCGTAATTCATGCAAAAATGGATGCGATTTTAAAAGATAACAATTCAGAAAAAAAAGTATTTGTTTGTGTGTGACTATTCAAAGCTTTGTAAACAAGCTGAAGTATCTTAAATGAAATTTAATAATAATACTCAGCTTTTTGGCAACCAATTAAAATTGATTAAAACATATTGCTCCGTTTAGTCTCATTTCACAACGCCCCCTATCGTCAGAGTCAGCAGCCTAACATGTTAGCCATGGACGTTTTTTTTTTTAAATCGTTAAAAATTCTTTTCTTTTTTTTAAACGAAAAGCACATCCACCCCGACGTACGTTATCACTAGCTCTTTCATTGGAGCCCTCATGTCTCATTGACTTTTGAAAGTTCACCCACCGTAATTTTTCAAAATAGGTTGCAAGCTCGCCATTGCCTATAATAAACATGTGAAACAAGTCGAAATTTGGACTCAGTCTGCCAAGCGATAGTAAGATTATGGGTCAAGCACACGAAGGATAAGAAGCATGAATTATCGATTATTACTTCTGCTATGTTCATTATATCCATTTCATCCACCCCCACCGTAATTTTTCCATTTAGTAAAAGCAAACATTTAGCAGAGGTAAGCAAAAACAAGAATATTCAT